TGCTTCCTTCCTGTTATTAGTTAAGGGGCATGCGTGCCCACCTCACATGGTGTCAGACTAGAGCGCCAAGGAATGAATTTGCAACCTAGAACAGGCAGATTCTTGTATCCTCTCACTCCTCTGGCTTGGTAGGTTTCTGCTTATATTTCTGTTGTTGGCAATGTTAGCAAGATATGAATACATTTATCGGACCTTATAATGTTCATCTTCCAAAACATTCAGTGCCTTATGTCTCCAGATACCTGCTTGGTTCTTTACTGAGCAGGAAGTCAGGCTTGTGTTTAGGAAGAGGGACAGAATCTCACACAGAATTGTTCCATGCTAGGATAAAAGGCTTCACGGTCCCCAGGTGTCTCAATTGTGTGGGTTCTAGGATAAGAAAATAGGGTGTTGCATGTTAGAGGTGGAGAATGTGTTTTTGATGGCCTTCCTGTTTTCTTGTCCCAGTTGAATTTGAATCTGAGCCTTGGTGGTTGAGAGTCCCAGGATTTCAGAGTGGGGTGGCTCAGAGGAGATTACATCCTGGTCCCAAGCCCCTTATCTCATGGCGGGGATCATATTAATTAGGTATGGCTTGGTAGATGCTGATTCTGACTGGGGTGGCAGACAAGCAAAAGACCAGAGCTTCCTTTCTTCTGGCTGGAACCATGGGGGGTGCCGAAGAGAAGAAAAAGAAGGTTCCTGCTGGGCTAGAAACTCTTAAGAAAAAGCAAAGGCATTATGCAGAGCTGAAGGTGAAGCGCCTGAGGAAGAAGTTTGCCCAAAAGATGCTTCAAAAGGCAAGGAGGAAGCTGATCTATGAAAAAGCCAAGCATTACCTCAAGGAATATAGGCAAATGTACAGAACAGAGATTCGGATGGCTAGAATGGCAAGAAAAGCCGGCAACTTCTATGTACCTGCAGAACCCAAATTGGCATTTGTTATCAGGATCAGAGGTATCAATGGTGTGAGCCCAAAGGTTCGCCTTCGCCAGATCTTCAGTGGCACCTTCGTTAAGCTCAACAAGGCTTCAGTTAACATGCTGAGGATCGTGGAACCTTACATTGCAGAGGGGTACCCAAATCTGAAATCAGTGAATGAACTCATCTACAAGTGTGGATATGGCAAAACCAATAAGAAATGAATTGCCTTGACAGATAACACTTTGATTGCTCGATCTCTTGGTAAATATGTCATCATCTGCATGGAAGATCTGATTCATGAGATCTACTCTGTTGGAAAACGCTTTAAAGAAGCAAATAACTTCCTGTGGTCCTTCAAATTATCTTCTCCGAGAGGTGAAATGAAGAAAAAAGACCACCCATTTTGTAGAAGGTGGAGATGCTGGCAACAGGGAAGACCAGATCAACAGACTTATTAGAAGGATGAACTAAGATATCTACCATGGTATTTTTTTTATCTGATCAGTTAATAAAACAGTACCTGCTCTCAAAAAATGATAATTAAAAAAAGACCAGAGCTTCCCATAGCTCAAATGTGCCTCCCAGGCAGAAGGAGTCAACTGTGAATGACATTATGTCTGTTCAATAACTGTATAAATGTCAGCAAGAAAGTGACAAGCATAAGGTTTAGCATGAAATTGGAGCTTCATCCTGTCACCTAGAAAAATAAGGGCACAAAGCAGTGCTTTGGAAATACTGTCCAAAGGCCCACGAGCATGTGTTGAAGAAGACTGGCTGCTTCCAGATGCCCACGGGCTCCCGGCCATTGCATTCAGCCATTAAGCAAGGCTGGAATCTCCTCCTCTTCAGGGAAGCAGAGACTTCCAGTATGTGGAGGGGCTATGGTGTTCATGCAAGCTTCCACCATGCCAGAGAGAACATATTAGACCTGAGCTTCAAAACATATGAGTGAAAGTGGGCCAGAGCTGGCCAGCTGAGAGTCCCCAGGGTAGCAGGGGTCAGGAGGAGGCTGGGGATGGTCTCTCTCCATAGGCCAAACACTCTTCCCCTGTTTCATCCCCTGAAGGTATCCAGAAGTGGTATTGGTTGCTTGAGTTGATGACTCTCGTGTCTTAAAGTCTCCAGGTCGGTTTTTTATGGGGACACAGACAAATTCATGTTCAGATCCACTCTGTGTTCATTGACTTTTTAAAAATCTGTTTGTTTTCTTGACAGATGCCAATTTGGCAACCCCACAGCTGCTTCTTCTCTTGGAGATTCCAATCTTGGAGACTTTAATCTATAACCCAGCAAAGCCCTGGGCTTTTCTACTCCCCACACTTAGTGTACCTAGGTAGATAGACTTGCTAATCCATCTGATTTGAATAAAGTCTACTATTCCTCCTGTGAGAGCTCAAGATGGGGCCAGTACCAACCACAGCCAACTGTCTACCTTTCCTCTTCCACTCTGACACCTCATGGGAGAATGTGGGTAAAGAGAAGGAAGGAAACAAAGTAGATGTGGATGGGAATCCAGAAGCCATTGTGCCTGCCAAGATGGCGCCAGACAGGGCCACACCACATAAATCACTTCATACGCTTCCGCCCCAGAAGCCTTCTAGAACAGGGCTGGGCAGTGCAGTGCCTCATGGCTCTTTCTAAGCACAGTCCTCAATGTATGTTGGCACCACTTTGCTGACTGAGTGCTGGCCACTGTTTAGAAGAGCTTTTGGTGCTCTTACCTCCTTCATTTTCTTGCTTTTGCTTCATTTTTATACCCAGGATAAACCTAATTTAGCTTCTATTTCAAAAAAGTGAACATGATCAAAGTATAAGGATGTATGAAAATGTCACAAAGAGCCAGTTATTTTATACAATTAATATGTGCTAATAATTATAATTAAAAATTACAGCTGTGGAAGTGTCAACACAATGTAGTGGTTAAAAAACAAATAATTAAACCAACAAAAGGTGCGGGGGAAAGCTGCACTGTGACCTTATTACTTCTGGGACTGAAGAAGTTCTGCTTTGGCATAAGCTTATATTTATATCCAAGGTGTCTTTTGAGATCTGTTATTTTCAGAGATAATTTGGAAAGGCTGCAGGCTGTTCATTATTATGTACTATAGTCATGAAAATCTTGGCCCTACAATTTAAACTCCTGCCTCTGAACCTAACATTGTACCCTAGGTATTGGCCATATTGCTACTCAATCTCGTATTTCATGGTGGCCTCAGAGTCCATTGGATAGAAACGCCACAGTTGGCTTATCTGTGCTTCTGTACCCATCACTTCCAGGTTTCCATGTTTGTAGAGAACTTTGGGCAGAGCACCTTCCAGATTTCCCCCATAGTGTACACTGTAATCTCAAGGTAGATCTTAGAGCTCTCTTATACAGACGACAGATGTGTTCTAAGCCAAGCTTTCTTAGACTGCAGTGTGCACACCGATTGCTAATGGATATTGTGCAATGCAGATGTCGTTTGGAGCGAGCCTGAGAGTCTGCATTTTCACCAAGATGCTGCAGGATTCCTGGCTGCGGCCCAGGCTTTGGGCAGTCCTTAAAGTTGCTGGTGTACTGACTCCTTGAAAGAGCTGATTTACCGAGCCGCTGTGTGAGCTGGTTACCTGTGAGCTCTTTCCTCTCAGGATTTTCTAATCAAGGAGCAAGTTTGGGGTAGTTTGGTGTCCATAGAAGCCAAGGAGCTGCAGCAGTTGGCTTCAGTGGAAGCTTCTAGGCTCAGTCATGACTGCTATCAGAGTCACCTGGGAAGCTGCACACTCCTGCACACACCTGCATTCACACATGCACAACAGAGGCCACTCAGGACCACTACAGACAGAACGTCTCACAGTGGCACCTGGCTACCAGTAGATGGTAAAGGTGTTGAAGGTGACACCATGTGCAGCCAGGGTGGAGGACCACTGTTCTAAGCCTTCAGAAACCCACCTGAAATGGCACTGAGCTCCAGCTGTGTTTTTTTCCAGCTTTTCTTTTTCTTAGTTTTTAACTGACACATAGTATTTGTCAAGATTTATGGGGTAGAATATGATAATTGGATACTTATATACAATATGTGATGATAAGATCAGGAGAATGAGCATTTCATCTCCTCAAACATTTCTCGTTTGTTTTGGGAAACTTTAGACACCTCTGGCTATTTTGAAATATAAAATTGTTGTGGACTATTGTTACCCTACTGTGCTGTAGATCGTTAGAACTAATTCCTCCTATCTAACTGTATTTTGGTGCCCATTATCCAAGCTCTCTACCTCCTCCCCCCTGCCCTCCCTAGCCTCTCTAATCTGTGAGATCAACTACATAGCTTCCACATGTGGGGAGGACATGTGGTGTCTCTTTCTGTCCCTGGCCCATTTCACATAACACCATGTCCATCCATGTCCTTTCATCCACATTTCTGCAGATGACTAGATGGCAGTCTCAGGCTATCCCCAACCTTCATGCTTTTGACAATGGATTTGGCATAGCCATGAGTTGTGTTTTCAATTCCAAGAAACAACGGCTGTTATTTCTATGAGAAAACAAGATCCGTCTCACTGGCTTCTCCATCGAGCTCTGCTCCTCCATAGCATTCCAAGTTCCATCTTCATGAACGCCATCACTGCACACTGTCTCACTAACCAAAAATCTGGGCCTCATCTCTGTTTTGACTCTCCCTTACCCTTCAAATCTAAGCAGTCCTCCAAGTCTTTTGTTCTTTATGCACTTTTTTTCTTGTAGAGGGTAACACTTTATATTAGAATTACCCATCAGGATGACCACTGTCCTTCCACCAGAATCTGAGCCCTTGGAGGGCAGAGAACATCTCTTGCTTCTTTTCATCCCTCCCACCCAGCACAGTGCCTGCCCAGCACACACTGGATACCCACTAAACCATTGTCCAATGAGTGAATAAAATGTAGCAGGTGCTCACCTGCAGGCCTAGAAGTCCAGCCTCGTGGTTGGAAGTCTGTTCCAGTGTCGCAGCAGGAGTGTGAGCTGCCTAGAGGCTGCCACCATGGCTTGGCCCTGGGATGTCAGGATGGCAGACAGGATGCCCAGGAGAACTTGCCGCTCTCCACCTACTGGAGTAACACCTGTTGTTTTTCTTTGGCAGTTGCCTTCTCGGGCCTTGGTTTCACGACATTCTACCTGGCAGGCAAGCTGCACTGCTTCACCGAGAGTGGGCGGGGGAAGAGCTGGCGGCTCTGTGCCGCCATCTTGCCCCTGTACTGTGCCATGATGATCGCGCTGTCCCGCATGTGTGACTACAAGCATCACTGGCAAGGTGAGTCCCTGCCCAGGGCCTGCCCATCCTCATGGCAATCCCCTCTTCCTCCTCCTCCTCCATGGATGGGTATAGAGATTGCACCTAACTGGGGAGGAGGAATAAGTGCCCAACATTAGAAACCGGGGTGGGTATGGTTTTGAAGCCAAGGTACCTGTTCAAGTGGGTTCTGACCTTCATGTTGCTCTTGCTAGGACAGAATCGGAACTCTTCTTTTGCTGTCTGTTCCGAGAGACTTTTCTCAAGTCCTGCCAAGATGTTAGGCATTTGGTAGTCACCTTAGCCTTAGACTCCAGTGGGACTTCCCTGCTGGGTCACTTGACTCAGTCCTCAGACTTGGTGCCAAGTGTTTTCTGGCTCTTTTCCCATATCAAGTACAGTCTACAAGGATGTATTTCTCACCCTGGATCCTGTTCCAAAGAGTGTATCCAGCCCAAGGACAACCCCAGCAGTGTTCTTAGCAGCACTTGCAAGGCTGGGTGAGGTGGCCTCTATGTGTTAGTCCTGGGATGTTTTTAAAATCTGAATCACATAAAACAAGTGAGGGACTTGTTCCTGGAATATAACTAAACCCTGCTATGTCCCCATGCAGGTGAACTATAGCTCACAGTCTGCTTGGAAGACAGCCATCATCTGCCCCAGCAAACAGGGAACAGAGAGAGGACATCCATAGAGGGTGTGGCCTCCAGGGGCAGCAAGATCTAGGGCAGCATTTCCCAGATGCCAGTCCTTAGATCCTCTTGATCCTGAGCCAGGAGTTTGACTCTCAGGGTGGGGTGAGGTTCTCTGGGGTGCTGGTCAGGAATCTCCACAGTTATCACGCAAGCCTGTCCTTTCTGTAGTCAGAGAAGCATTGGTTTAGAGTTCCACTGCCCATGTCACTTAGCAAAGTAAGTGCACCTGCCTTCCCCACCCAGACTGTGGCCCCAACCTCCTCCCTTTCCTTTGTACTGCTACTACATTTTCCCCTCCTCCCTCTTCCCTGCTTCTCAAGCTAGCTGCCTTGTGGGGCCACCCTCTTCTCTCCCCTCCAGCAGTTGGTTCCTATAGTAAGGGCCCAGTAGAGGCCAGAGATGAGGACAACTGCTGGCTGAGGGCACCTTCTCTCTATCTTCTCTAGGGGCTTCTTCCTCCTCTCAGTGCTGCCTCGGTTTCTCCTACCCCCTCCCAGCTGTAGGTCCACCCTCCTGGATCTCATGCCCTGGGTGTCGTGTGTCTCCAGCAACAGCGTTGACTTGGAGGGTGCAGGGTAAAGGGAAGAGGGGCTGATGCATGGTTTAAACAGGTGATGCACCAGGCATGAACGAGGTCTGAGGCCCTCTGGGGAGGTGGTCAGGAGGGGACCCCAGGACTCTGGCCTGAGCCTGCCCTCATTATTCACCCAATGACTTGGATGAAGTTCTAGATGATATAAGTCCACATCACAAGAAAGAAGGAAGGAGAGAATCACTGGGCTAACAGCAGTTGGCATACCAATGGTGCCCTGGGAACTGTGGATGTTTCCCACAGAATCATGTTGTCCCTGTGGTTAGGTCATCTGCCCATGAAGAGTTGTATGAGCCAAACAGCCCTATATAGATCGCTTCTCATGCATCCCTGTGAAGCACATTTTTTATGAGCATAGGAACTATAACCCCTGAATATTTCACAGTGCTGTTTCATGGATTGAATGAAATAATGGACCCAAAAGTACTTTGTAAATGGAAATGTCCTACATGAATGCAAATTGGTATCACCATTCCTTAGCGCATTGTTTCTAAGGAGACCATGTTGTGTTTCCCAAACAACTGGTTTGGAGCATGATCTGTTTGTGAGCTGTGAATACTGGGTTTTCACTTTTACTCAACCACTTTGGACTTGGGAAATGATCAAGAGTTTAAAAATTGGATAGACTTTTCCTTTATTGGAGGTTGTAAGAGCCCTTGTGTAGTGACCTTGTACTAAAAATCTAAGACGTGAGGTTGGTCTTTCTTGAACACTCTGTGACCCTAACCTGATCTGTTACTGTTTACTCTGTGGCTGAGCAATGTGGCCACCATGGAAGAATGGGGATCTTGGCTTTAGGGGCTGATGGATTCAAGATGCAGTTGGTGTGCCCAGGGTCTGCTGACAACTGGGACTTCAAAACAGGTCTGTCCAAGAGGAACAGAAAGGAAGTTTGGGCAGTGGAGAAACACTGTGACCACCCCAAGGGAAAAGCAAAGCAAGAGAAATAATGTTTAGTGATGCTAAGGGCCATGCTGGTGGAGGAGTAAGGTGGCACTGTGTGATGGTAGACCTCTGCAGCCAACCTGGACTTGCATGAGTTGGTTCAGGTCAGGGGTATGTTCCCAGTGCCAGCCCAGCTCTGCCACAGTCTGTTCAGCTTGCTCCCCTGGAGTCAGCCAGGGAAAGAACATGCCTTTTCTTGGATCCTCTTATGGACTCTGAGTCAGGCTTACTTTACCTGAGTCTCATTTATGAGGCCATCACTGTCCACACTGGTTGTAGGGATGGAGAGGTTGACCGGACATTTGTCAATGTCTAGAGACATCCTTATGGTTGTTACAACGTTGGGGTGATGCTCCTGGCATCTCATGGGTAGAGGGTTAAAGCTAAGGACTATAATACTGAACATCCTACGAGCCCCTTCTCACAGCCCCAAGGTCAGTTCTGCCAAGATTGAGATCCTGATCCACATCACGCCAAAGCCCTATCTTTCTTTCCCTTGTTTCATGGTAAGAAGCAACAATGTTCTGGGAATGAGAAATTTTATTCATTCAACACTCAGTTATATCTAAATATTTTTTAAGGATTTGGCAAAGATTTTTGTTTCTCATTAAGTTTTTAAGTAGATGCATTTGCTTACAATAAAGCTGTTGTTAAGAGCACACAAAAGTTGAGCACAAACAATAAGATTAAATTCAGCAGTCCACTGTGATGGGGACCAAGAGACCAAGTAGGTGCTTCCGACAGAAAACTGACCATCAGGGTAATGACCTGACAGGCAGAGGCCTTGGTCCTCACACTGGAAAAAAAAACAAAACTGTTTAGTGTATGAACTGTTTCATGGAGTTTGTAGCTGCACCTTGGCTTCTATTTATTACTTAATAGTTTGTGTAGTTAAGTGGTCTTTACAGATAACCTGCATCCATTTAAATTAAACACATATTTTCTACAATAAAGAGATTATAAGGCCACAGTGGTTTTTTTTGGACAAATCCCTTAATATAGTGATTTTACTGTCAATCTTCTTCAGTCTTTCAAAATATAAAGTATTTTAACTTAAGGCTATAGATAATTTTTAAGTACTACATACATCATGACTATTAAAATTACCTTTAGTATTTATATCTAATGTGCAAAGAAAACTTACTACCAGATTCTTACAGTAGATATTAATCAGTCTGACATGCTTATTAATTGATCCCATAAGTAATTATAGGTCAGCATGATTTTAGTGTCTGTTCTTTGATGTTCCTAAATCTGGAACGCAGTATTTACAGAACAGATAAACCCACGCTGTGCAGCCACCCAGGCATCCTGATAGCTTTTCCAATAGCCGTCAACAAGCTCAGGTGTAGATCCCCTCTGTGAATGACGTTAGATCCGATTCTTCATCAGAAGGTGATGGTGGAGGTTGTTGGGTGCTCCTGATATAGGTCCCCAGTCCCATGGCCAGCAGCTGAGAGCAGCAGAGGTGGAAGAGCTCTTAGGGTTCTAAGAATTTCTGCTTGGGAAAAGCCCCTGTCTTCATAAGTCTCATCCAGAGAGCTCCCTGTGCTCTTTAAGGAGGAACTCCCTGGGGAGGAGATTCCCTGCCAACTTGACCAATCCCATATCCAATCTGAGTTTTCCTTTAAGATGCTTTCGACTTCTTTCCTTCTCTCAGTGTAATCTTGCTCTGCCTGACAGCTGCACTCTTCCCTCCCGGGCCGTGGTACCTATTGCAGAAGCTGTAGTCTGGGGGTGACTCACATGAGAACCCTCAGAGCCACTCTGTCCAGAAAGGTGCTGGGCATCCCGCAGTGTGTTCTCCACGTCGCCATTATAAACAGCAGCAGAGGCTGGAAGGCCGCTCCATTCCCACCACTGTTAAAGCTGGTCCGCCCAGGAGCCCTGTAGTTCTCCTGCAGCAGCCGGAAGGCAGCAAGGCTGGGGGTCCACAGTGGGGCTGCACCGGCTGCAGCTGCACCTGGGCCGCCCTGCAGGGGAGGGCCTGCGCCCAGGCCTGCCCCTCAGCACCCAAGGCACAGTTTAGAGAGGAATCCAGTTTCCTGGGTGGAGAAGGTGTGAACAGCTAGGCCTCCAACTGCTGTGGCCGGAGCCTGATGAGATAAACTACTACTTTTTCTTTCATGGACTGAGCTGCCCCCATGGGCAGGGGCCATCTATTGGGCTGGAAATTTGTATAGAGCCCAGTGGGCATCAGTACTGCCCAAGGCCCTCTCGTCATTGACTTCAGTCATTAATTAATTAATAATCAACATTAATGGTTAGGAGGTTTTCTGACTTCATTTCAAGTTTGATTTAAGCAATACAGCCCAATGTGGAAATACATCTGATTGCTCCATTGCATATTCACATCCAATAAATAGCCCATAATCTCAAATGACTTGCTCTGTTGGTTATCCTGATTATTTTCTGTTTATTTTTTTTCTTTCTTTTTTTTTTTTTTTTTTTCGTGCCCCCTGGCACACTCCAAATACACAAGTATGCTGTTTTATTAAATGAGGGAAATATAGGGGCACAGGCATAGGGAGGCGCAGGTGTGACTTTTAACAAAACTTGTCTGGACACAGAACCAGCTGGACTGATGCTAACTCTGTGTGGCTGGCCCCGTGTCTGTGATGCACTACTTTCAGGTCCACTGGAAGCAGGGAGTTGACAGGTGTCGCCTTGGAGAGGGGCTTGTCTCTGTGTTTCACTGGGTGTTTTAGCTCTAAAACCTGCACCATTCCTGAGCAAGGCAGCAGCAGAGGAAGAGCAGGTCTCTGGCCAGCATCTGCTGCTTCTCACACTTGTGCCTGTGGTCTCTGGCCAGGGGACAGTCCTAGATGGCAGTGGCAGGAGACTGTTTTTTGCCTGATTGTGGGACAGGATGATGAGCCCCCACTGAGACCCTGCATCTGGATCCAGGTTCTCCTTGTGGGATTTGGGCTTGGGCAGCAAGCTGTTTTCTTGCATCATAGGTCTTTGAAGCCATCCTGGGTGCCTAAGTGGAGTTTCATTATTGGAAAGAGGCAGTCACTTGTTCCCACTCAGGCCAAGGGCCAGCTGAGGGTGGGAAGCCCCCACGTCCCTCTTGGAGACCCCATATGGGCGTTTTCAACATGGCCGCCCGTGCCTTCACCTTGCTTCTCTGACTGGGCTGTGAGAGTGATCTGAAATGAACTTCCATGTAGTGACCAGAATTCAGGATAGTATCAGTCCTACCAATGCAGGTGTGCGGAGGGGGGCCCTGGCCACTGTACTGGACTGTTGCGTGTGCCACAGAAGATTGTCAGCTTCAGCATAGCCAGGCAGAGGCTGTTCCCTCTGGAGAAACCCTTGTCAAAGCTTCATGGTGCTCTGTAACGCCCAGGTCTCTCGTGGGTTCTCCTTCCTTCCCCCCTGCCTGTCTTTCTGTCTCTCACAGCTGAGGGACACACAGATAACCAGGCCTCCCTTGGGCCCTCAGAAGCAGTCTCTAAATGAGGTGACTTGAAAAGGGTCTCTCAGAGCTCTGTTACTGCCCCCACCAGCCCTGGGTACAGCAGACTCCCGAGGCTCACTCCCGGGCATCCTCGGTCCCCTGTGACTGACCTCACCTCGTTTCTCCCCACAGTCGCTGCCCGGTGTAGGTGACTATGAAGAGGCAGCCCAGGTCTAGACAGAACCACTCAGCCGCAGCCCTGAGTGGCCGTGTGAGGCTGCAGGGTGCACAGGTGGTAGCCTACAGTGGGAGTGGGGTCCTGCTCCACACGGGGGGCTCATGGAACCACAAAGGGACATGGGAGTGCTGTGACGTCCTTGCATCCTACAAAGATACCGCCACCCTGTTAAAAGACGGCCTTCCTTAGTTCAGGTTCACCAAGCCCTTCTTCCCCAAGTGCTCTTGTGTACTCTCCCCTCTGCCTGGAAACCTTGGGCGCTCTCCTTGCCTCCTGTTCCGCACTTCCCCTGGCTGATTCTGGCACATCCTGCAGGTCTTAACCCGTGGGGGGCATCCCAAGCAGAGCCCCACACCCTCCAGCCCAGCCCAGTCCACTGCAGGCTGCACTGTGTGGTGCATTGCAGCTGCAGAGCACGGCTGAGCTGCTCAGGAATTCTGAGCTCCTGTTGCTTTACAATCCAGTGAGTGACAAATGTTTTTTAAATTCATTATAAGTTTATTTTAAACGCTATGAAAATAAGGCTGAGCTCAGGAGGTGGACACTCTGGGCGGCCTGGGTGCTGTGTGTGCGGTACAGATGTGTTGAGAGAACAGCAGAGCTAGGTAAGGGGGCAGCAGGGAGGATCGGAAGTCCCCTGGCAGTGTCAGGGAGGGACATGAGAGGACAGCATGAGAAGAGCAGAGGTGGGGACTGTGTCCTGGGTCTTATTTGGACGTGCTCTACGGCACTGTCTTTAGAGGAAGCATTATTAGATCACCATCACAGCTCAGGGAGGTGGGGATTGAGACCTCCATTTGGTCTGAGAGAGGTGAAGAGACTGGCCCTGGCAGGGGCTGGGGATTCCTCAGCAGGAAGATTCTTGAGTCAGGGCTGATAGGCATGGGGACCCTCCAGGCCCCGGTGCCTCTGCAGGGCCCACAGTGCCTCTCAGGATGAGTAGGTATTGGCCTGCTACCCGCCCGTGGCCTCCGGCCTCCCCGATGTCCCTGCTTTCACCTTGACGGCTGCTCCGTAGGGCCGAGCAGATGCCCAGATGTGCCCCTGGGCTTTCTGCCTGTTGGCAGCGAGGCGGCCATAACCACATCCATCTGTTGTTTAGATTTTTACTCCCAGGGCAGGAAGCTGGGGCAATTATTCAGTCTCTTCTTTGACCAGAGAACCTCAGTGTGGCCTACGGAGGTGGACCCAGGGCACCACACTCCTGGACCTCTCCCTCAGGAGGCCCTGCTCACCAGCAGGTGCCTGTTCAGTGTTCCTGTGTTGCAGATGAAACGACAGAGGAACAGGGTGGGAAAGGGGCTCACCCAAGGACACCCAGGACAGCAGCCAGTCCGGCCTGTCACTGAGCATCCATTTCCATCAGCAAACTTAGTTCTGCTGTGAGCAAGTATTGATCCAGTGTAGAGGGAACCACAGCCATGGCCCTGTCCTCACAGCCTTCTGAGTCCAGTGTTAAATGTCCCTCATCTGCACAGCTTGATGTTGTTCCCCACTGTGCTGCACGGGTGCTCAAAGTGTACACCTGGGAGACTTGGTCCATGGCAGGGGTCAGGTAGGGACTGCGTTGCATGGGGACATACAATTGAGCTCTGAAACATGAATAAAAATTGAAAGCAGGGTAAGGAGAAGGGATTTGCAAGAGTCCAGGATAAGGACAGCACCTTTGGGTCCTGAAAGGGGAAGAGGCAAGTGTATTTGAGCAACTGATAGGAAGACAGTGAGTGGGAGGGAGGGCTGGGGCTGGTGGCAGGGCCAGGGGAACAGTTTTGAATGACACAGGGGCTTGGGTAGCTCTCTAGGAGCAGTGGCAAGGACTCTGCCAGCAAGAGAACAGCTCCGTCTGTTTGCACTTGAGCGGTCATCACCAGCTGCTCTCCATACTCTGGTCACCAGAGCAGCGACTGTGCCCTTCTCTGAACCGTTCAGGCTGCCATCACAGAAATTTCTAAAACAAAAGAGCTTTTCTTTTACTTATTACCTCTTTATTTGTTTTCCTATTGTAGGTCAGTAAATTGAAATGCACTATGTGGTTGAATTTATTTAAAATAACTTAAAGCTATGTATTATAGGATGTTTATGTTTTTCTATTAGCCTACTAGAAATGCTGAAGGTAGAGGCAATTCTAGGAAAGATAATGAAATAGAGAAATATTCCCTCTCCTCAGAAGTTATTCTGATTGATCTAAACAGAGCCTGGATACCTGTAACAGAATCATAAAAAGGCTGATAAATGTGATGCACATTATCTACATTGAGCTGGTTTTTTTGGAAAGATACATTTCTTCAATAAACTCTCAAAATTTCCCCCACAGGAGATGCCAGAGAATTATCTTGTGACTTAAACTGAAGTCTCTGAACAGGGTGTAACTTCCTGGGAAGGCTGGGAACTTATGCCCTGAACACTGATCATTAGGGAGCCCTGTGGCCCCTCAACAGAGCCCAGGTGGACACTCCCTTCCGCCCATGGGCCTGCTGCACTGTGAAAGCTGGGATCTCAGAGGCAGGTACTTAGGATGCCTGGAATGAGCTGACCCAATCTAGCGCAGCACCGTGGGCCTGCACAGGCTGCAGAATGAGGACCCTGAGCTTCCAGTCCAGTGAGTTTGGGGGAAACAGGGCAGATGCTAGTTCCCACAAGAGGCTTGTATGATTATACAAGATAATAAATGTAATAATGGAAATCCCCAATGAAGGCAGCTGAACATGGCAGAAACCTTAATAAAAGTCTAAATTTCTTTTGATGGGGAGGTTCTCCATCATGCCAGGATATTTTGGCAAGAATAATCCATAGAGACAACTTAGAGCCTTTTACACACACACACACACACACACACACACACACTGAGTGAGGCCTGGTTTCATGGGGTCGCTGTTGGGCACGAGCTGTATGCCTTCCTTGGTGAATGGCTGCTCCCTGTGGTGGTGGAGAGACCTATCTTGCCTGCACAGGGGCCCCATCCCTGCCTCAGCTGCTGTCTGTCACCTCCTCAACTTGATGAGATATGCAGCTCTTTGGAGGGGTGAGGTCCCCTCCTGCAGTGGTCTACTGACTGTGCCAACCCTGGCATGTTGCAGATGCTTTATTCACTTTGTGACTTTGTGTCACAGACAGGGTTCATTTTGTCCCTAGGAAACCACTTACCTGGAAGCAGAGACCAGCACACCTGCTGCATTTTTGTGGTGCACCAGCAGGATCTCAGGACTCCAATGAGACCCACCTAGAAAAAAGAAAAGTCAGCCCCCACGGGTACAGGCATTTAGATGTTATCGAGATGGCTGGTAATCTTTCAGAATTTAAAATTGTTCTTCAAAGTCAGCAATAAGGGCTGGGGTTGTGGTTCTGTGGTAGAGTACTTGCCTAGCATGTGTGAGGCACTGGGTTTGATTCTCAGCACTGCATATAAATAAATGAATAACATAAAGGTCCATCAACATCCAAAAACATTTTTTTTTAAGTCAGGAATAAGATCTAAATTCTTACAATGCTCAGATGTGAGTTAAAGAAATAAAAGGGGCGAGAGAATCAGGTACTCACTTACAGGTACGTGCTAGGAGAGATGGCAGTTTGCAGAGACCACAGGTTCGCACCTACAGAAAACCAGTCCCCGGAGCAGGTGGGAAAAGTGCGTCCTGGAAAACTCCACTGGCCACGTGTAAATGAAGAGTAACGCCTTCCTCCCTTTGCTCTTCCTAGATTCGTTCGTGGGCGGCGTGATTGGCCTCATCTTTGCATACATCTGCTACAGACAGCACTACCCGCCGCTGGCCAACACGGCCTGCCATAAGCCCTACGTCAGCCTGCGCGTGCCCACCTCGCTGAAGAAGGAGGAGAGGCCCACGGCGGACAGCGCGCCCAGCTTGCCCCTGGAGGGGATCACCGAAGGCCCCGTATGATGAGTGTCCGGGGAGATGGACGCTGAGCCCCGGGCTCGCTCTTCCCCCCAACGCCGTAACACGGTGGCAGAGGTTTTCTGTAGTGTGTTTCTCATCCATTATTTCTCCAAGTTTCCCTTCTGCTTCCATTTTGCGGACGGTCTTCGTGCCACTCTCGAGGTCTCCTTTCAACGTTTTCGAGTTTGCAAGGTCAAGACACCGGAAGCGCCCTCTGAAGACCAGGGAAGGGCTGCAGGGGCGGGTGGGCGTGGCTGGCTGCTTCCCTCCACCCGGTGTTCGCCATAGCGATCGCCTTCCTCCTCCTTCATGGTTGTAAATCACAATAAAACCTCCCACCTGGAAGACGCGCGTCCAGTGTGGCGAAGTCATTCGCAGCTGCAGGGGGTTTCACAGCGCAGCCCAAAGCCAGCTCTGTCCATGGGGGTCCGGCGGCTGCACCGGGGAGCAAAGGCTCCCGTCCCAGCGCGTGTCGGTGAAGTGGGTTTGAAACGCAGAGCGACGGTCTTAGCATTCCCCGCACTTTTTGCATCACTTATTTAGAAAGATTTGAGCTGAATACCTCCATGCACAGACCTCTGCCAAGAACAATAAAAACAAAGAAGCACGAGCGCTTGTGTCAGCGGGGAGGCCACGGAGCTCCGGGCTCTGGGTGCAGGTTCTTCCAGCCTTACCATCTAGGTCTGGGAGCCTGCGCTGTAGCTCAGCCTCTTAGAGAAAATTCCACTGCACCCAGGGAAGGTGCCACTGATCTCCCAGATGGGAAAATCAGTTGCCACCTAAGGGTGTGGCTGCATGACCCCTGGAGGACAAAGGCAGCTCCAGGGCGAGAGGTTCCTCTACCTCCTGTAGGTCAGCTGCTGATGTGTCAGTTTAGAGCCAGCAGGTGTCTTCCCTAGGTCATCTCTACTGTGAGTCGGCCCTGGAGCCATGCACCACCTTGTGAAGACCTCCTTCAGTGGACTCCGGTCCTGTCCAGCTGTAGTGCCTCCAAACTGCTTTCGCCCAAAGCTGCCATGATGGTCTCACAAGTGTGGGGAGGGAAGGGAGGGCCCCAATTGATGTCCATCAAGGTCAAACCATTGACTTGTATCTATGACAACAGCTAACAACTTTGAGAGCAACTTCGAAAATGAATGAGAGGTATTTTAAAAGTTAGATCATAGTCAGTCATAACATGTAACTTTAAATCCAGATCTAAAATTCGTATAAAATTACAAAATTAATAGGTAGTTAATAAAAACTACAATGTTCAAAAATAGAAATGTGGGAAAAGGAACTACCATGGGGTGGGGGTAGGGGGGCAGCCCGATATGTGCTTACACTTTTTGATTCTAGTTTTTTCTAAGTTTTGCAATATTAAGCAGAAGGAAGAGTTAGACTTAAGTTAATGGTCAATTAAAATTCTGGACCATGAAGTGGAAACTTAATATCCATAGTTAACATTTTAAGATTAATGGCCAGGAAGAACTCTGCAAAGTAACAAAAAAACAGAATATTGTTAATGCTGATCATTAGACCAAAGGCCCCCAAATAGGCTGTGTAAAAGCTTTGATTAGAATTAAAAAGGATGTGACAACATGAACGTGAGGCAGGATCCTTGGGAGCCATAGTTAACAGCATACGCCAGCCCACAGAGGCAGGTGTTTTGTGGGTCCATATGTTTTAATTTCATGCTCTATTAATGTGAAGGAAATATAATGCCCTAATGCACAGAAGAAATGGCTGGGGGTGAGGGCATTTGTCCCCAGTCCCTGATCCCTTCTGGATGTGAAGGGTTACCAGTCAGTCTCTTGGTGAGGCAGGTGGCACAGGAGGGGAGGGGACAGAGCCCACCTTGGATATGTGGTGTGCAAGGCTTCTCCTGCCTCACTGTGTGGACACACTCAGTCCTCACTAGAGGCAGCAGCCACAAGGTCAAACAGCTCCTGGGACTAGGAAAGGAACACAGGGAACAAGGGAGGCTGGGAACAGCAGGTAACTAAAGAGCAACACTGGAGAAATGGTGCTCCAAGTTGTCCCTGCCAGATCCCCAGATTTTTAAAAAGAAATCTGGAACCTACATTTTTATGCAGAAGTCCTTGCTTTTATCACAGGCAGCTATCCATTGAGATGTTTTAGGATGTCACTAACCAAACATCTAGCTGAAAGCAATTTGATCAGTAGGTTTTGTTAATATAAAAAATCAAGAGGTAGATGTCTCAAGGATGCCCAGCCTTTTCCACCTCCTTGCTCCACCATCTCAAGTATGCCAGTGATCCTCATGATCACATGGTGGCTGCAGCATTCCCAAGAATCACATCCTTGTCTAATCCTGCCTAAAGATAGAAAGGAATCCAGTCCTGTGACAAGATAATTCTGTTGGTGGGTCTCTTTTCATTAAGAAAGGAAATATTTCCCTGAGAAAAGTCCCCTTTGCCTACATTAGCTAGAACTGTTATATAACCTCCCTTAGGAAGGCAATGGTGCTTGGAAAAGGGAGTCTCCAGCATCTTCAGGCTTTTTGTAGGAGGTGGATTCTGTCTGTTGGGAAAAGAACTAAAGATTGGCTGTTGGGTGGATAAACCGCAGTGTCTATAACGAAATCCAATTTAATTAAAATACAAACAAAAATGGCACATATATGTGCAGAGCCTGCTGCTTTCAGGCCTGTCGGGGTCACATGACTTCTTGGTGGGTTGGAATGTGAGCTAAGGCTCTGTCAATCCATTGAACCCTGTTGGGTCACCGCCTTCTAAAGAGCTCTTGGAACTTAAGCCACTTAGCTTCTCTTCCAGGCCTATTCCATTCCCTGGAGGGTTCTGGAACATTCTTCCACCAACTGTTTTTGGGACTCCGTTCCTGTCTTTCTGCACACCATTCCCTTGCCTCCCTTCACTTTATCACCGTGGCACATCCAATTCTTGCAGTGTCGGTGGGTCCTTGAACCCTAACCTGCTCCCTGATGCTCTCCGGAACTGACCCCCTTGGGAGTCTCCCCCTTCACTGGAGAAGTACCCATACAGGGTAGGGCCACCTCCTACAAAGAGCACCGCTGCCTTCCTAAGGGGGCTTATAACAGCTCTAGCCACCCAAGCTGACTGGTCAAAAGGGAGACAGCTGGCCCAGGTGGGCCAGTCTCGGCCTCACTCCTGGGAGTTGGAGCCCAGTGTGGCTACCTTAAAATTAGACAGCATTCTAGAAAAGACACAGCCTCTAGTTCCAGGGACCCCAGGGAACCCCCACTTCCTGCCTTCCTGAGAGGGTTGGTTCCTCAGCTCTTCCTGTGAGACACCCAGAGCCTATCAACGCAGCAGTTCTTTTTACCAGAGTTGCTTTCTGTCACTTAACAACTTCTAAATAACTTTAATCTCATCAGCCCCAGCTCCACAGACAGGGAATCTACAGCGGGCTGCATTAATGACCTCGGGCTTCAGAGTCTCTCCCAACTTTCAAAACCGAGTTCTCTTAAGGTTCGTCCCTCTACCATGCAAACTCCAGCTGAAGGATCCAGAGAATTCCTGGCTGGCTGTCACCTCAACTGCAGTGCCCCAGGTCTCGCTGATCCCAAACTCTGGCACACACCCAAATCAAAACACCCAACAGATAAATGAGGAAGACCCGACATGGGGCTTTGATCTTGTTCTCCAATTTGAAACAAGCAAAACTAACATTTTCTTGAGTTTTGAAAAGTGAAATGTTAACTTCAGTGTAAAACTTTTCTCTTTGTTTCCTGTAGTGCTGAGATCAAGCCCACGGCCTCTCTCCCTAGGCTAGCCCTCTACCACTAGCTACACCCCACCCAGATGTGCCAGGGTCTTAATGATGAAGCATCTTTGGGGAGTGATTTTCCCCTGCGTGTGTTCGTGTTCATGCCTTTGGACTTGGCTGGGCACATCCCATGGCTACCGAGTGTGGCTTTTGTTAAACAGAGCTGTGAACATATTGGAAAATGGCCTTGGTCACCTGTGACTACAGTCATCCTAGCACAAAAAGTTCAGTCTCAATTAGGATGAACAATTCAAAGTAGCCTACATGGCTACTGCTGTCTGGGGGGGCGGGAACTGGGGAACTGGCATTCCAGGGGTGGTTTTTGTGTGAGGGGAGAGGAAAAGAAGAGAGGGCCTAATACCAGTGTTTCCCATGGAAGTCTCACTGAACTGGTCTAGCTTTGCAAATTAACACATTCTAAATTCCCCTCGTAGAGATTCAGAACACGCAATGCCTAGCGAAAGCCCTGAGAAGTCCTACAGGAATGAAACTGACCCTGAAGCAGCCCCCATCTTTCCTCCTGGCACCTCTGGTTCAGAATGGGGCCAGGCAGCCCTGCTCACAGCTCTGCCCCTAACAGCTCCACTCCCAGGAGCCTCAGGTTCTGTTGCTTTAAAATGGGGTGACATCAGCCTTACAGGATGCTATTGGACTTTTTTAAAATCAGGAATGTAAAACATATTGGGCCATGACAGTGGTGTCACACAGGGGAGCATTAGGTGTGCACAGGTTCAAATTCAGCTCCTACACCTCAGTATCACTGCAGAAACTCTGAGGTCCCTTGAGGAAGCCGCAGAGCAGGCAAGCACCCTGGCAGTCACCTCCCTGGGGTCCATGCAGGCTGACGCAGCAGAACACCACAGGCTGGGCGGTGTGAAACTGCCGCAGTCTGGCTGGGCACAAATCAGGAGCCACTGAAGCAGGAACAAACTTTATTTTTAAACTGCAGGAAAACACTTCACACAGCTCCCGGGGAATCCTCCCTAACGCCAGGAGGCTTGTCCAGGAACCCCCAGCCGGAAATATCTCTCCCGGAAATCCCCCCTCCTGCACTTCCCCAACCAATGGGAACTCTCGGGGAATCCCCGGAAATCCCCACCAGAACTCCAAGATAGTGGGAGAACTCAAAAGTTGCGGCAGAGGCGGATAGTAATGCCTCGCCTGTCAATCAATACTGTTGGCAAAATGCCAGGGGCCATACAGACTCCGCTGTGGCTCTCAGCAACCTCCTAATACTGTCACCTTGAGGGTTAGGAGTTCCACCCATGAACTTGGAGGGGGCGATGTAAATACTGAACGTAGCACCCCTAAAAAACGAAGAGCCATTCTAATCTAAGCCAGGAGCCGTCCTGCAGCGGCAATGACGTCATCGAGTACCCAAGCCCAACTGCGCGATGACCCTGGGCCAACTGCGCTGGGGCCGGTGGGCGGTGCTGCAGTTTACCCACGTGAGAAGC